GAGTGGGGTCCTGCAGCACACGATGAAGCGTGCAAATAAAGCAATAAACAGAAAAGCAGCACTGCACTTGGAGATCTTGAGCTTTGTTTGTACAGTATTTCTAAGGTGTGCTTTGTATGGTTGAAAAAATGCCATTGTTCAGGAGTCTGGAATTGCTCTTCCCTCTCCAGCCTTATGAACAGCAGAGACTCAGTGTGCAGCCCTTTATTCGGAGGGAGCCTTAATCACTCCCCTCTCGAAACTGCTGCTCCATTTGACTGACAGAATTAGAAGCAATCCACATATTGGAGGGGAAAAAAGAAAGGCAGACCCATTTGGTTGTCAGACTGTGGGTACATACATAAAGCTTTTAGCAAAAAAAGAAAGAAGAAAAAAAAGAAGAAAGTTGTTGCCCTCCTAAATCACATCTATATTAACGACATGAATGACAGGCTTAAGGGGAAAATTATAAATCTTTCTCTCCAGTTTTTCTTTTATTGCCCAACCATATATTTCATCTTTCCAGAGAGCAGTGCCATTAAACATGCAGCTGACAGCCTCAAGCACTGTAGGTAAGCTGCAACTAGACCTGCTGAAGCCAGGTTAAGCACTTTGGGTGCACTTGCCCAGTGGGCATGGCTATGAGCCTCCCTGCACTGGGCGATGCCATGCAATACCAGAGCAACCAGTACAGCCCCAGTACAGCTGCTGCAGCCCTGGAGCACCCCATCTCCATCCCTGTGTGGTGAAGGAGAGGGAAAGAGACTGGAGTGCTCGGGTGGGGCTGTACAGTTGGCCATATCTGACACCCTTGTCATCTGGGACTCCCCACCACTCGATACCCTCTTTCCAAGGGACCAAGCAGCCCTGTTCTTGTGGCAGGACAACTCCAGAGCAGCCACAGATCTCTGCATTTCTGTTTCGCCCATTTTCCTACACAGTCTCCAGGGAAAACAGAGAGGAAGACAGAGAAACCCCAGTGTCTTGTGGGATCACAGATGGAGAAGTAATCATCTTCAGTTAAAAAATAATTCCTTTAAATTTCCCCAACCCCAGGTTTCATTTTCCCTGGAGATGATATGTAACTAATACAACAGATAGACCTACTCTCTAGAGCGTGTATGCTTGTGTGTATATACATTTATATACCCACATACATGTTACGCTTTTTCTGTATGAGTCTCCTGTGAAGACTATTATGGTTATGTATAATTGTCTGTGCTCACACATACTGCAAAGATACTTCCTTGGGGTTTATTATCTTTGACCACTATATTTATGTTTTATAGCAGCCTAATTAGAGACAATCCATTTAAAATGCTGACACGCAGTGTTAAGTTATTCTGCAGGTGAATGAATAGATGCAGCATTTCATGATCTCTAAAATTTGTAGTCTTATTAACTGGATTTGCTAATGGCAGGGCTGTCTGGAGAAATGAATCTGTTTAAAAATGGCCCTTGATTTCCCATCACCAGTAGCACTGAACATGTACTCCAATGTGTGTTTGGGGAAGGGTTTTTTCATGATGGAAGTGGAGGATTGAAAAATTAAATGGTTTCATTTGAACCTCCTGCACAGCTGAGTTTATAACAATAAAAGGCAAAGATGCTCCCTTACAGATAAATTGAGGGGGAAAACAAAATGAAGAGAAAATCAAAATCAATAATCTAGGTGCTGCCACATCCTGCTCTCTGGCTCTACCTGTGCTACACAGCCCAAACAGATACAGCTCCCACCCTTTCACTAGCACTGTTACCACAGAGAATAAAACTAATTGTCTGTCACTCTTTTCATCTTAATGGCCACTCAGAGATTTCACAACCGTAGGAGGACAGTGCACAAACCCACACCTTTTCTGGAATGTAGAGGCATGGAGAAAAGACAAATTTTGGATGGAAATGCCAGAAGAAACACTGTTATGAAAACCAGGCTTTAAATCCCCAAAACACGTAAAGGACAACGTACAGCACAGGAGAAACAGGCTGAATAAAACACGCTGTTATTAAAGCCCTGGAGCTCAGTCCTGAAGGGATTTGCATGTTTCTGATGCAGACTGTGATTTTTCAGGGTTTCTGAGAGGCACTGGAAGGCTGCAGGAACGCTGTGCCTGTGGAGCGGTCCCCATGCTGTGACAGGTAGCTATTCCCTCCCAGGCTCAGTCTAGCACATTAAAAACCCAACAGTATCTTTCTTTTTTCAGCTCTCTGCTTCAAAGGCTCTCTAATGCGTTACCATTACCCCATGCTCATCCCCACTGCAGCGATAAGCGCAGTATAAATAGCTACCAGTAGATGACAGATAGAACATGGACATGACAACAGTGTCCTCCCCCTGCTCCCCCAGTCAGCACAGCAGTATCTGTTGATGAGCTACTCAGAATGGGACTGCAGGAATGCTGTGGAGAGGCACAGGGCCTGGCAGGAGTTGAGCTGAAGCAAAGCAAACTTTCCACGCTGTCCCTGAATCCCCACTGGAGGCGAGTGTACAGGTGAATATCCATCTGAGCAGAGTAATAACCTCAGGGTTAATTAGGACTTGGCATAATTTAAGAGTTGGTCATAACTAGGAATTGATGCAATTTGATGTTCAGTGGTTCAGTGAGCTCCCGCTTCAGCTCTTTTTTCTCCTAAGCCCCTGCAGCTGTGCTATCCAGCTCAGGGGATTAAAAATCAGCTCCTCATCTCATGCTAATTCTGTTTGCCTCATTGTCCTCCTATATCCAAAGTAGCAAAATACGAGCTGGACATCCAGCTTTGGGAGTCATATTTGAGAAACGCATGGGTCAGTTAGCGAGAGGCCAGCGAAGAGCAAACAGGAATGCTAAGAGATTTGGAAAACATGACTTGTAAGGAAAGGATGGAGGAATTGGGTTTGTTTTGTCTAGAAAAGAATGAGGGAAGATACAAGTTTTCCAATATGCAGAGGTTTGTTGATCAAGTGCTCTTGTTCCTTAAGAAATCACCTTACAGCAAAGCTGACTGAGGTTAGGCATTAGGAAAACATCTTTTCAACTACATGTAGAACTAGGCAAATCCTGGACCAGACTAAGGCAGTGCCTTCTCTACACTGGTGGCTTTCAGAACAGGTTAATGAGCAGAGGCCACACGCCTTTGAAACGCTCTTCTGACCCCGTCTCCTACTGCTTTGTGCTCAGCTCCTGCAGCCAGATGCTGCTGGTGACATCAGTTGTGTGTGTGTCCATCATTGTCACCGCGGCCCCTCAGCAGCCCCTGTCCTCTTGCTGGTAGGGTTGGGTGAAAGCTGGGGCTCCCTGCTCTGAAACGCTGACCACTGGGATATAGTTACCATTACGAGCCAACTCTGGTCTCAGAGGGTACCCTCGTACCCCAAGCTCCCACGAAGTTATCACTGGCCTATTTGGCACGTGCAGGGGCAGAAGACAGCTCAGTCTGTGTTTCCAGCTCAGTGCTTCATGACAGCTTGGCCCTTCATTTGCAGCGGAGGCGTTTCTTCCGCTTGGGGTACTGTTATTTATTGGTATTAGCCCCTCGCGGCTCGAAGGGAAGCCCCACTGCACCAGCCTTTGTGCACAGTGAGACTCGTGGGCACAGCGCAAACAACCAGCACAGCAGGCGAGGAGGGGAGGGAGAGCCAGGCAGGGCCACGCTGGAGAAGAGACTCACTCCAGGTTGTGGCCTCAGGGAAGCGCAGCCCTGTGCAGGTGCCACGTTTTGACCACTGCCTTCATGGGCACATGGACACCCAGACACACCGCGGTGTCCTGGCCAAGAGGCGAGCCCCGATCTGCAGTCAGAGAAGAACTAGCTTGTAAAAGTCAATCACGTTCTGCACAGCTAGTAAATATTTCACGAGGTTCACAAAGCCTCAAACTCCACAAGCTTGGCAAAGCCTGACCAGCTGCTCTCCTCAAGAGCTATAAAGAGCTGGGATCCAACACTTAGCTGGTGATTTGCTGAAGACACACAGGGCAGAAAAGAAACCAAATTCACTCTGTTTAGACTGACATTGGCTCCCCACTGTTGACAGCAGTCCAGATTTGGGGTCTGGTCTTTCTCCCACTGAATTCAACAGGGAATTTTTCCATTGGCTTCAATAGGGGCAGTAATAAGCCATTGTATCTGTCAGTGCACATTGCCAATGGAAGACAAACTGGAATGGCTAAGTGCTGTCTGTAATAAAAGATCTTTTTTTCCCTCCCTCCTTCTCTCCCCCAAGTCCATTTTCAGACCATAACCACATTTTAATGAATAAAAAGTTGTTGTTTCAAATCCTTGCAGAACTGCAGCCCCTGCCAAGCCTGTTTTTCTTCTGGAAAGACAGATGCATGTGCTCACATTATGGTAGTTGTTTTTTGCGTGCCATATATTTCAGTGATGTTCATGAAACTAGAATTAGTGACACTAATAATGACAAATCAGAGGGCTAATATTGTTTAACCCTGTTAAAGAGTGTTATTACATTCACATGTTCCCACAGAGTAAATGCTGTTTGGCTTAGACATATGTCTTGCTGTTTATTTTTATGAATCAGAAATGAATCAGCAGTCAGTCTAAGAGTGTCCCATAGATTTATTTGTCTCATATACCACTTTAGAAGGGGGAAAATATCCCACCAGGGTATAAAATAATCTTGTGCTCAGTAGAGGCATACCAATATTAAATTAATTCTAATCAATAACACAGAATATTGCAGCTCTGGAAGGATTTGTCCCAGAATGCTGAGCCATTGAGGAGATTAGACTATGCTCCTGCTGATGTAATACTCATTCCTATTCAGATGGCGAAGACAAAACTACACCTTCAGATTAGATCTGATGTGTGCGGCTGTCTGGTTTTCACTGTTTATGAGCAGATACACAAGTGCCTTTTTCTCAAGCCAATGCGTCTTTCAGGATGCAAAGAGCAAATGCACCACGTAGTCTGCAGCACTTACATCTTATTTGTGGACAAGACCTAGAGTAACTTAGAGCTGGGAAATTGTTCTCTCTCTGCACTGTGCTCAGCAGATAAAGAAAATAAAATGACAGTCACTAATACAATGCTTCCATCCGTTTCTTTCTTCAATGCTCAGGGACTTTTGAGAAAAGGGATTCTTGGACATGACATTGAGAAGAATCCCCACTCTTTGAACTGTTAGATCCCTAATTTGCCCAGCCCTTGAATCTCATTTGTAAGCAGCTGACAACAGGCATGGTAATCTCTGCCTTAACAAAACAAAATCAATACACTGCTTCAGAAATTTGACCAAAAAAAAAGTTATGTAAGAGGTAAGAAAAACATCACACTTTCTTAGAGCCTTAGACATTCCAAGAATTACAGAAGGTAATTTAAATTCAACTCAGCCGCTACTGTTGCAATATTGAGGTTTTAAAGTCAGTTTATTTATATTTTAACTTTGCAGTTTCCCATAAGGCATGGTCAAAGTCTTTAACAGAATCACTGACATTAGGAATTCTCGTCCTCCTTTTCCCTTGCTCCTTATCAAGTGTACTTTGTTTCCTGCAATGGTTTATTGGGACCATCTGCATCTCCTCCTGTTTTCTCTCAGGCATGGAGATAAGATTTCACCTTTGGATGTCTGGTTGAAGTCCAGCTGGCAGTCTGGATGTGTTTGGTGGCTGTGGCTCAGTGCCTGTTGCATGCGTGCGCTAGTCTCACATGGTGGCGACAGAAAAACCCACGTGAGTACCACCCTCTGTGTTCAGGACCAGCTTCATTTTCCTCTTCAAAGCCAGGGCCAAGAGCTTCAAACCTGGCTGCCTGAAATATAAACTCCTCCAAGTCCTTATCTGAGTGAGTCAATAAATGGCTGTGGCTTACAGAGACTGCGAAGCCCTCACAGATATAGGAAGGGAATGGCAAGGCCTGCTAGGATGACCAGTGCAGCCTTTCCAAACCAATGCCCAAACTGCTTTCCAGACTTTTCCAAACTGCTTTTGGGCTGAATTATGTCCTTGCAGCTCCCCTCTCTCTGGGCACTGCTTTCCTCACTTCTGATTCCACTGACTAACCTGAAATAAGCTCAATTGCTGACTGCATCCTCCTACTTGCAGTGCTCATGGTCACATAGAATCATAGAATAGGTTGGGGTGGAAAGGACCTTAAGATCATCCAATTCCAACCCACTGCCATGGGCAGGGCCACTTCACACTAGACCATGTCACCCAAGGCTCTGTCCAACCTCGCTTTGAACACCGCCAGGGATGGAGCTTTGTTAGCAGCAAAATCAAACAGGGCATTTCCACCCAAAGTTGCCCAAGAAGGGGAAATTCCCATGGCAAGAGATACCACTTATCCCATGCAGCTCAGAGCACTTTGGATGCCTGGCCATCGTACTGCTCTCCTCTTTTACTGGTTTCTGCTTTATTCAGTACTTTAACATGAAGCAAAAAGCCTTGATTTCAGTCTTTGGAAGTGGTAATACTCTGCTGAGGCCAGCCCAGCTGGGTAATCTGGTTTATTTGCAGCTGAGGCCTGATAAACACGCTGCAGCAAATGGTTAGAAAGTGAAATCAGCCTCCACCAGACGGAGCGGGGGGAAGGATGGGAGAGCTCTCCTTCACAGTTTATCTAGAAACCCTGCAGAAACGTGGCAGGCTTTGAAGATAATAGGAGCAAAGACGGTTCCTTTCTTCTTGCTTGCCTCCTCCTTTCCTCCCTTCATTTTGGAGACACATTATCCACATGGAGGGTCAAGTATGTGGTTAAATGAAATGTTTTTGGAAAGCTCCATGTGAAGATTTGCAATGCAGACAAACAATCTCCAGCCTCCCTGCACATTTTCCCAAGGAACCGAAGGAACACCTTGTACACTGAATCTTTTGTTTCTTTGGTTCGTTCCTTCTTATTCTGTGAATATTTCTCTCTTTTTTTAGTATCTCATGAAATGGAAGAAACCACTAATCTGTGCTCTGCCTATTTCATGTTTTAGAAAAGCCAAAGAGACAAATCTGTAAAAGCACTTTCTCTGTTTGTTAGATTGTTTTTTCCCTCTTAAACACAGGCTGCAAGTCTCAGAAGTCAAGGACTTGAGCTTCTCTTTGTTTTTAGTGCCTGGATGCTTCTACTGTGTTAAAGTGTCAGCCCCAGATAAAGAAGGGAATGAAAACAGAGAAGGTCTTTTCAAGAGAAAACGTCTGTCCTTCAAAGTCTGGAGAGGTAGAAGTGGATTTATAGTCCCCTGGGCAACGTCCAGGAAATGTTTTGGAGCCTTGAGGCAAATTGTGGATGCTGAAGCCACGGTCCTCAGTGGTTTTGTGTGTCCTTAATATTGTGCTGAGATCTGAGCTGTGTGTCCTTAATATTGCGCTGAGATCTGAGCTGCTTCACATCCAGAAAAAGGAAAAGCACATTAAACCTGGAAAAGGAAGGGGTAAGACAAGGTCCTTGCACTGTGGGCTGCTGCAGCAACATCAGCAAGAACCTTGCAGGAAGGGTCTGTGTATGGCCAAGGTGGCAGAGGGAGCAACTGGCCAGGACAAAGAGGCTTTGGGCTGGAGGCTGCAAGCTAAGAGGAAGTTCAGAGCTGTGAAATTCAGACTTTGATCTGAAGAAACTGCTTGCTGCTTGAGCAGACTAGGTTCTGCAGGTCAGGATGCTGGCTTGGACCACCTCTACTACAGAGATACAGGTTAACACTTTCCTGGCCAGGTTTGAAGGAGCTATTCCTGAGGTGAGCTTCCCATCACATACCTCGAGGCAGAGTCAGTTACTGCTAGAGAAAGCAAGCAGCACATCCCCTGTCCCCTTCAAGCATAGCAGTCAAGGTCAGCAGGTTTTGCCCTGTCCTGGGCCTCTGGTTGGCTCTGCCTCTTCACCCAAGGACCCCGAGACTAACCACAGAGGGAAACCATCTCTTGCCATGTGCCTCTCCACTTCCCAGCTCCCTCCCCTAGCTTTTCTGAGGATATCCTGAACTCAGGAAGGTCTGGCACGGATGTACAATTTCTGGACCTTGACAGACCTGGTGAACGTGGGCTTTTCTAAAGCACCTCTGTGTGAGTATCACAGCTTATATAATCATTTCAGTTAGCACAGCACAGTCTTGCTTATTTGGACTCGTGATTACCTGAGAACCAAGGCTGAATTAATTTAAAAGGAAAGAAAAAATGAGTGTGTCTCCTAGCTGTGGAGAAAAGTTCGAGGGAAATGTGGACTTCTCCATTGATTTTCCACAGGAATATTTCTGATGTGCTATTTTCCCTCATCAACTTTTTATTTTAACAACATATGGTAAAGCAGCTCTGCCTCAGTGTGGATGTGCAGGACTTACTGAGCAATGCTGGCTCCCTGCGCTGCAGACAGCTCGGATTATTTTAAAACACCAGCATTCATAATTGCACTATATGCGGAATCAAGATTAATACAGAAGAGTTACCATAACAACAACACCTCGACGCGGGGCTTGCACAAATACCTAACACATCCTAGGGAGTGGATTCAATACCCTGTTGGGTGAAAAACATGCAGCCTTTGAAGAACGGACCACTGCAAATGGTGGTGCCTGAGGAGGAAATCTGTCCAGGAGAAAAGGCTTTAGCAAATTAATTATTAGCATTTTATTGCTATTTTAGCTAACCAGTGGCTGGGACAGCTACTGTAGGGACTGTCACCCACTTCCTGGCTGATGAGTCCTACAGCTCAGCACATGGTGGTTCATCATAAGGTTTATGGCAGCAGAATAGAGCTCTGTGGTGCTGGGAGCTGCACAGGCACAGGGCAGCAGGAAAGGTAAACCTCCCATCTTCCAGAGCTGAAGCTAAAGCTGATCCCAGCACACAGTTGGAAGAGAAACAAAACACACAAAGTCCTAGTGGCAAATGACAGATTATCTTCATTAATATGTGCTTTTCTTGACGTAAAAGTGTATCTATCAAAAATAACCCAACTGGAAAAAAAAAATGTAATGGGAGCAAAGATAAAGGGGAATAGCACAAGGAGGAAGGCAGCAGTGACGTAGGGAAAATGATGGACAAAGAGAGGTGACTTCACCAGATTAGCTGAAAGAGACCTCCATCCTCACACCCAGCAGTTGCATCTGAGCCTTCAGAACCTTCAGAAACCTCTTACTGACTTCCATGCTCCATTATTATTGCAGTTCTCAGATAAAACACATTTCAAAAGACCATTTGGCCTACTGAGAGGTTTCAGTTTTTAATTTAAGTGAGATTTTTGTTGGTGTTCAACATTTTGCTATCTATCTTAATCCCACAGGGTTTTTTTCATTCAGAAGCCAGGTAGTTAAACACCATGCAGTTTCTTTCCCTTTCAAGGTAATTCTTCCACCTAGGTCAGCTACAATGAGGCACTCTCATCACAGTATTCGCTTCCACTAAAGAATAACCTGACTGAGCAAACTCCCCTCCACAACCACTGCATCTTCATTCTTCTTCTTCGCCTTGCAAACAAAGTATCAGGCTTTAAGTTTCCTCTGAGTCTCCATATGGGTGGCTCTAACAAAGACCTCTGCTCTTTTATTTATTCCCAGAACAAGTGCTTGATTTTGCCTGTAGTCCTTCACTGCTATTACACAAAAAAAAAAAAGAAAAACGAGCTCAAGTAATTTCTGCTCTGCTTTGATAGTGATATTCAGCAATGAGATTCTTTGTGTGAAAGAAACCCAGGAAAAGTAGCTTTTCCTAGCATTATAATTTGCTATAGTTAGGTGTTAAAGTTTTCAGCTGAGCTGCTTGTGATAAACACTGCATATGCTCCAGGCTGCGTAGGTTCCTGCTAGCTTTTCTTTGTCCAGGTTACCAACATAGTAGTTTTAGGTTCCCAGTGCAGCTAATGGAGAGCAAAAGGGTTTTTAAGAGCTGTGATTTATCCCACTTAAGATCTGAATCATTCTGAGGTGTCTCTCTTCCCCACTGAGTGCAAAGGGATCACGGGAAAAGTGCTTTGTGAGCTGACACAGACACTTTGTAGGTTGGATGGTGCCTGCCCTACACTGCTCACTACCACAATAAATATGAAAGAAAAGCAAAACAGAATAGCAGGAGGTAGATGAGGGGGTTTGGAGAGATGAGGCACTGGCTGGAAATCACGCAAGGCACTGGGATGGGAAGAGAATCCGGATCTCTTGATGAAACCCATTTTTGTGTGTTTTCTACCGCAGGGCTCTCCTTTCTGTCAAACAAAAGGAATGTGATTGTGTATTTCCTTTTTCTCTTCCCTTCCAGTTGTTGCATGTAATTAAGAACTTACATTTTTTTCCAGAGTAATTGCAAGACCAGAAACCTCTAAGTCAGATGGAAAGAACTAAAGATTTCAGCCAACGTGAAGTAGCCAGAAAAATAAGCATGTGGGGAAAAAAAACCCAACATTGTGCAAATAAAATTGCTGAGGGAAATACAGAGATCACATGAGGAGGGCAGATAGGGGCATTGTGCAAAGGATAAGGAAGGAGAGTTAGGAACAAGGGAGGGCTGCTAATTTTGCTCTGTAAGCACAGCTGGTGAACAATTCTCATTCCCATTCTTGCCCCTGCTCCCCAAGGATTGTGACCCCCGGAGCACAGCCACACAAACACTTGGTTTCGCGCTCTGTACAACCGCGAGGATCCCACGACCTTCGGCAGCAGGGACAGGAGGGAAGATGGGAATCAGGGGTGGGAACCTTGCCAAATGGATCTGCCACAAGGCAATGAACTGTCCTGCCCGTGGCTGACCTACCTCTTGCCTCTGTCTTGCTTTTGCTCTGGAGCTGGAAATTTCTGCCTAATTCGTTGTGCCAAAGGCCAGATTAGCTGTTTGTGTGGCTACAGAGGCAGAAACCTCTAAAAACAGGGCTAAAGTGATTATTTTATGTGACCCAGACTAGATGACCCCCAGATGTCCCTTCCAACCTAGTAAAAGCTGCAAAGATTCAGGGAAGCATTTCTACCCTGTGCACTGCAAAAGCATCACTTCTAACAGTTGTTTCTTTTCACTATCAGAAAAAGACCTAGACCTAGATCTCAGGGACTCAACAGCCCTGAAATCTTGGAGCACAGAGAGGGTCTCTACAGATGGATCATCAAGCTACTCAGTGACAGGTAAGCCTTAATTTTCTGCTTGGCTGGGGCTTGCCATACCAGCCTTTTCTCTCCAGTGTATTTGCCTCTTCAGGAAAAAAACCCGAAGCCAAGTGAAGAGAAGCTGCAAGCGCTGCAGACCTTGCTTCTGCTGGTGTCCCACAGCAGTCAAGGAGTGATGATTGCAACATCAGACCCGTACAGTTTCTTCACTTGTTTTGAAACTGTCTCAGATGGGACTCACACCCCAGCTTTCTGTGTCATTTCTTGGCTGTGTTTATAACCACTGTGCATATGACCTACAGGTGCTCAGCACATCCAGAAATACAGCTAAAACACACCATGCACACATGCTGGTTTGCACAGGTCAGATTGTTCTCCTGCAGAATCTGGCCACACAGGGGGAAGGAGGCAAAGTGAAGAGCAGGAGGCATGGGACTGGTGTTCAAAGCTGTGCACATTGTGCACAGCATAGCTCCGGGTCACAGGCTGAAGCCAGCAGCATCCTGTGTGTGTGCAGGAGCATGAGGCTTGGATCCTAGTGGCAGGAACAGCCACTGTTCCCATGGAGGTGGTCCCTGGCTCTTCCAGTGCTGATCTGCATTGCCACAAGTGCCAGCCTCATAAAGATACATGTATCTCAGCCTGCACCACCAGCATGGGGTACACACACTAGTAACGACCTCCCAGCTCTGCACAGTGCTCACGGGACCCATGTCAAGTGGCTTGACTTCTGGAGTTGTGCTCACATCATTAGGCCAGTGTATTCTGGAGGCATTAAGACTTTATTATACCCCCTTACAAGCTTAACGGCACTTGGCACTAAGCCTCTGTGACAATTTTAATCAGCGTGGTTAGAGGGGGCCCTTATTCCAGCTGCTGTGTTTTAAACCAAACCAAGATGAAAATCCCGAAGCCCAAGCACAGTGAGGTTAGATCAACCTGCCCCCTTTAACCCTGGCTAGTGAATTAAGTCCTTAATAACAGCTGGGAAAGGATCTCTGTGTCACAAAAGAACAAACTTTGCTCAGAAGAGGTTATCAATGGGACCCCAAGAGACCAGTCACTGTGAAGCTTTACTTCATTCCAGAAATGTTTTGGAAGCAATTACTTCATCTTGTTCTTTATTCACAGGATTCACTTAACTGATGACATTATAGCTCAGTCCATTAAGTAAATGGGTTATAAATTTTCTCCAAGTTTTGAGGAAGTAACGTTGCAGCCTGTATCACTATCCTTGTCAGCAGTCAGTGGGGACAGGGACAGCTCTCCATTTGATCAGTGAGGTTTACCTCTGCTGAGATCTTACCTATGACATATCTGGCTCTGGGTCTTTTATAATGTTTGAGCAGGATTAAAAAAAAAGGAAAAGAAAAAAGAAGAAACAAGAGTTATTTTCACAAAAATTCCTGGCAGCTGTGCTGTTTATTATGAGAGGAAAACAGAGCAAGAAAAATTGGCATGTCATTTCTTAAATGAATTTATATCCTCATTTCCTTTAGAAAGTGAATCCATGCTCCATCTAGCCATATTCCATCAGTCTGCAGGGGCAAAGTCTGCAGAGCACAACTGAAATACGCAGCTGTAGCATAGGCCAGAATGCCGTATATGGCTTTCATAATAAGCTCCTCACCCACCCTTGCTGCCGGTAGCGCTTATAAAGGTTTTATTTTCCATCAGTTAGCCATGCAGCAGGTCTTAAAAGTCAGCAGCAGCTCAGAAAATCAGGGACACATGATCCAATCCTGGTCACCGGGGCCAAAATGACTCTGAAGGCTCCTGAAGCCATCACTGTGCTACGTCCATCTGCTGAGAACCGAGTCTCGAGCTGCATTCATCCCGTGTCCCTGTGCCATGGCGGGGGGGAGTGGTGCCAGGTGCTGCTTTTATTGTTTCTGTACAATGTCTCAGTATCCCGAGGAGGGGAGGCGGCAGGCTGGGGAGGAGAATTGCCAAAAGAGAAGTGAATTCGGGAGGTTTGGGGAACTGTCACAGAATGCTGTCAGTCAAAAGAAGTTTTGCACAAAATCTCCAAAACAACCTCTTCCTCCTCCACATGCATCCGCCTCCTCTGAGGGGTGGTGGTTAATATACTAAATACAACACAACCGCTTGGAAGGCACTTTTCGTTTTGAGTCACCACCTTGCTATTTTTGCAGCCGCAAATACAGACTGGTGGAGTTGATGTCATTAATCTGGTACATACAGGAACAACCTGGGGAGCCAGGGCTGGATTTCTAAGGGAAACAAGAGGCTCCCGGGAAGTGTCTTCTGGGGAAGTCAGGATGCAGGCAGTGCACTGTATCAGTGCCAATGAAAGGAAGGAAAAGAGGATATTAACACTCCAACGTCATTTCTGGTTGACTCCGGTTTGTGTTTTAAACCACTACGAATTACAGAAAAGGGGTGCAGGGGGAAAAGAGAAACATTTCATTTGCCTCCAACACAAAAGGGTTTGTTCTAGATGCAGCCTTTTTATTCTTTTCATCTGAAATCTTAAAAAAAAAAAATACCCAGGAAAGAAATTTCAATCCCCAAAGTTATTTCAAAATGAAAAAATCAAAGGCTCCTGTTCCAGCAAAAAGCTCACTGGGACTGGGTGGCAGACAGGGTGGGAATGCCAGACATCAGTCCCTGGAAGCCTGACAAACACAGGGGAGGGCCTGAATGCAACAAAGCTGGGACACGAAACCCACAGAATCTCCTGATGATTTGGGTCAACATATGGCTCGATGCACCATCTTTGGCCAAGCTCGACGTGTTTCAGTCTCCAGGGTAGCGTATGTGATTTTCTCACATCAGAAGTGGAGAGCATTGATGGCACTATGGAAGGAAAAGCTACTCTCACCATAATTCATACATGTTTCTGTATAAATGGGGTACTGAAGTGCTGTTTACTTATACAACATCTGATCTGCAGCTCTCCTGGATCTACTTAAAGCTCAGAGGAAGTGTTTTGATTGGTATTTGGGCTGTTGCATAAGAAAGCAGTGCAATTGGTGTTAGCCAGGGTCCTGCAGTCACAGCAGAGTGTCAGCGCGAGTGCGAGACATTTCCCCTGACAGGGTGTTGGGTCTGCACACCCGCCGAGTGCAGGCTGATGTCAATGGGGCTATTATGATTTCACCCAGCCTCGCTGCTCCGGCTGCAGTCTCCCTCATTCCCTGAACAGCAGGGAAGGTCTAGACTGGAGCTGCGGAGATTTCCACATACACACAGACAAGCACAGGTTTTTTTTCCTGTCCTGCCAGTTTCACCAACCATGAGAGCAATCCACAAAGCACACGAAGGCTTTCTTTTCTCTGTCCTGCTTGGCTGGCTTTTCTTAGCCTGTCTGAATGGCTCTGCTTAGCCTAACCATGCACAAACAGAAAACACGTTTGAGCCTCTCTTCTAGAAGAGTTAAACTTTGGGAGAGAAGAAATCGGGTAGAGGGTAACTCTGTGGGATCGAGAAGGACAGTTCAAGGCTGGGACTAGATATGCAAGAGAGAAATTTCCCCAAATACCAGTTTTTCCTTTATACAGGGGATTAACATCTGCATTTGGATGTCAGCTCCCCTCCTGACCCTCTTATGCCTAGGGACAATCGCACTGGGTCCAAAGCCTCCAAACATGGGGCTCTACTCCACAGAGATCCTCCATAGCACACAGTTTGCCTGAGTACTGGGCTGCTGCCCTTCCTCCACAGAGCAAAGGCTTCCTCCAGGATGGGAAGGAGCTGTATTCAAGGGTAACTTACTCTGCTAGAAGAGAATCCAGCATCTGCCTTTGCTGTATGCTGGGTTGGGATCTGTCCACTTTGCACCAGAGGAGCAGGCAGAAATTATTCAAGCGTTACCAGTCCACAGTATGCCCTGTAGGCAGATGTTCTCCTGCTGTGTACCCTGTGTTTGCGCTGGTGAAGCCAGAAGCATCTGAGAGCTCTCAGCTCTCTCCTTAACCAGGGTCAGGACAAGCCCTGAGTCTGCACAGCAGAGGGAACCATGGGAAGACAAGCCACAAGGGAGCGGTAGCTCAGGTGGGAAGAGAACTGCTGCAGCTGGGTCCTTCAGCAAACCATCTCTCAGCCTGGTGAGTTTAGATTGCCTCTGTGCAGAGAGTGCCCTCATACATAGAAATAAACAGAAGACGACACAATAACTTGAGCAGGGATTTGCCCTGGCACTGTTAAGTCAGGATGCTCAAACATTAACAACTACATAGCAGAGACCCATGTTGAGGTTGTTCCACCCTGGGAGAGCTTTCAGCCTCCCACAGTCCACAAGCAAGCAGGAACAGCAATCACAGAACAGGAACTTTTAACAGGGCCTGGAGCAGGCATGGTCTTTGTCCAAGGTGTGCAACACAGAGCTACTTGGCAGCCCAGGTGACTGCTGCAACATCTCCTTCATGACTCTGCTCTATGAATCTGCTCAAAAACCCCAAAACACAAAAAAAAAAAAACCCAAAGCAGCAAGGTCAGAGAAAGCAAGAGAAAAATGCTGCAATGATTCACGTACCTGTAACCAAACTGAGAGAAGCAGCCATGACCAGAGGCATTTTCAGCAGACGATACTATGTCAGCAGACTTGGCTGCTTTTTAAGTTCATTTCCTTGAAAAGGGCTGATGTTAACATAGGCAACAATAAAAAGTTGATAATAATCTGAGTTTTGTCAACCTCAGGGTTTAAAAAGAAAAGAAAATGAGGGAAAGCGACAAACACCCACACGCACAGGAGAGAGGACCTTCAGGAGGAACACAAACACCAGCTGGCTTGGCTTGCATTTGATATTCAATTTTTCTTTAGTAAAAAAGCATATAAGAATTAATTATATTAATGAAATATTGATCCAAACTATTAATACACTGTAAGAAGAATAAACAATTCCATCTCCTGCTGCTCCTATTTGTAATGAAGTCATTTTCTCTGTTTTCAGACTCTAATGCAAAAGCAGAAATCAAAGCCTTCTCTCTGCCCTGACCTGGTGTGCACTTCCAGCCCAGTGCAGTTGTTCCAGTTATTCTTAAAAAACCCCAAACAAATCAAAACCCCTTCAGGAAACGAAAGTTAAAAGAATACTTGTTTCCTTTAATGATCCCTCCTTCTCTGATCTGTTTAACATACTTGCATCAGGTGTTAGAGTTGGCATCAGCTGCTACTGTATTGGTGAGTATTTGCTTTTCTATTTGAGTTTGCACAATCTCTATCTCACAATGGTGCATGCCAACAATTTCTGTGCTGGAAAACAGAGAAATAAACACTGGAACAACTGCTCTGCATTACTGCATAGCGACCAGAGAGAATTATTCCCCCCCTTCTTTCCTAATGACTCACACCTTCCAAAATCCCGCAATCTAAAGTCCTGCTTTTCCTCTTGATGTCACTTCTTTTTCGCTCTCCAACTCACCAACTTTGTAAGAAAAAGATTTACATCTCAGTCCTTTTTATTCTTCCTTTGATAAAAGTGACCTGATCCCCACAAGAAGCAATGGGGAAACCTCCAAATGTTTCAATTGATCTGTTTGAAGCTCAGCTGAACCTTTAAACATCCCACCCTTCTGCCTAATCCCTCCACAAGCTCACATTTCTTCTTTATCCTCCATGGGCTTGTCTACAGGGAAACACCTTCCCAAAACAGCTGTACCAGAATAATTAACCCACTACAGATAGACCAATAAAATACCCTGCCTGGATATTATTCTGGAATGAAATTTATCTTATTCTGGAAGCATGTCTCTGTGCAGCCTTAGCTTTTATTCCAGAAGCTCTGCAGCAATTCATCCTGGTGCAGCTTGCACAGAGCAGTTACCGTTACACAGATGTGTCAGGAAATTACCCTGCATAGGCGCACCAGGAAGGACAATCTGCCCAGTAAGGGCTTGAGAATTACTTGCCAAAAGAGACTGGCATTAGAACTGGGGCTGTTCACTTCCTGCCCAAGCTGTTTCGCTCTTCACTGTCCTTAACCTTGTTTAATATCAGCCGAGGACAGTGAGAACTTCGGAGCATGCAGCAAATACTTGAAATACAGAACAAACCTGGTTCCACTGTGGTTAAAGACCATCACCTTTGCTTGCATTAGGTGTAAAGACCTGTAAGATTTTCAGACATATGACTGCTACATGTGCTTGTCCTGAGATATATGTATGTCTAAGGGGAAGTTTCAGTGGTTCAAGGTTTTATTTTCAGTGCCTGGCCATCCCTCTGGCTCCCTCCCAACAAGAGCCCAGCAATGCACATTCACTAGCAGGCCTTGGTGAGAGCTTTTTGGTTTTTCTAAACCATCACCTAGTCCCCAGAATCCAGAGGAATCCAGATCCCACTGTGGGATCTTCCCAGGACCCCCCGGGGATGTTTGGAGTTATCACAGTACAGTCAGGAGAAGGCAGCTGGGGCGAGACAGGGGAGGACGCATGCGACTGCGCTGATGGTGTCAGCACCAGCTCCATCACCTCTGCCTTTGGCAAGTTCTTCTCACCCTCATGCTTTGGTTTCCCACTTTTCTTCAGTGGGAATGTAATACTGCTGCAGGGATTAATTAATTGATGAGTATAGAGAGTCTGGAAAGTGTAAAGCACTACACAGGAGTTAAGTGTTATAATTAGGAGCAATTCTGATCTTGATTACAATGAGGTAAAGCTGGAAGTCCTACACCATAGAAAGATTGAAACTGATAAAAAAGAAAGATCAGAATCAGGGTCTTGTGATTTTAGATGTAAACTTGGGGCAGATTCCCTGCTGAGGTACATCTGCAACTGTAATAAGATCATGGAACATGACAACTTGTCACTTCAGTGAGAGATATAGGGAAAATGCCCTTTAAAAAAATTAAACAGGAAGGAAATTTTTACAGTGTTTTCTTTGGCTCTGAAACATATGCCCGGGGAGAAACTGTTCTCAGCAATGCAGTGGATCTTGAAATATTTACTGGGTCTGGCATTTAACATAATCTTTCTTGTATAAATGATATAGAAAAAAACACATATTATCTTAGGCTGCAATCTAGTGTGAGGATGAGATGATATTTTAATAGGGCTGCATTCATCAGCTGTAACAAGAGAGGAAATGTGCTCCAATCCAACATGCCCTGTGGGCAATGTAAATAAGAGTGACTTCGACCATCAGATAAGTACTGCAATGGGAGGCAGACAGACGGACAGACAGACTGCTAGGGAAGGAAGGCAGTCTGGGGAGGGTGATCTAACTGGGACAGGTAGGGCACACATTGCCCGCCTTACCTGGATCCCATCTTCTCCCTCTACTTCTGACTCTCATAAATGCACCCAACAAGGGTCCTCCAGGAAACCTGCACTTTTTCCTTGGCTTGCAGTGGGATTTGCATGTTGAGCCAGTGACACTGCCATTTTCAGAAGTAATTAAACTTTTAGTTATGCTTTTTAATAGCCAGTAGCTACTGCTTTGCAGTTTTGTCAGATGCACCATGGAGCGGAGCCGTGGACCTCCAACTGTTCTTCAGACAGGACCCAAGTGTTTGACCACACAGCTAGCAAGGGGGTCTGGACATGTGCAGCTGAGCTTATAGCCACACGCCATAGTCGCAGGTGAAATCAGAACAGGGCAGTACATTTCAGAGCTACAACGACATCCCTTCAAGGTTTTCCAACACGACTCAGGAGAAGGAATAGTGAAGAGGGAAAGGCCCAGATCCTCAGCCATTATCAAACCTGCAGACAGATTTATTCCCAGGAACACTCAGCTTTCAGGCTGAGCACTGGTCATTGTACAAAAAAGGGAAAGTCATCATATACAGGTATCCACAGTAAAACTGAAATACGAACTCCCCAAAGAGCACTTGTGCTGGAGCACACGTTGTATTGAAAATCATCAGGGAAGCTCAGTGAATTGTTTGTGACCTCAGGCCAGTTGCTTCATCTCTTAGTAGTTCAGACAGGCAAAGTCACACTGAAACCACAACAACCTCCCCATTGCTCCTCTCTGCACAGGGGACAGGGGTGTGGAGAATGAGTGTACATTTTCTGAACAAATTCAAAGGAAAAAGAGGCCTAAATAAAACATGAAGAAGTTAAAAGGCAGCTCATTGTCTTCCTTGCCTGCAGCAGGGACATCCGAGTGAGATCCAGATGGATCCCTCAAGCCTTTGGCATTTAAAGGACCCTAACCTGCCCAATGTAGTCCCAAGATTCCCTTGCACCCATTTGCAGAGAAAACCAAAGACCCTGAACACCAACTGCTCATCAATTTGCATTTCCTCTCCCACAGTTTGCCTGCTGGCTCCTCTGGGTGGGAAGACAGCAGTTTGTTATTATTTTCTAGTCATTGCTTGATCCACCTGCTGTAGGGACCATCAGCAGACGACAGTGCACAGGTCAAACATCATTAAACTGTAACATCCACATGATCAGTGTCAGGACGTATATCTGTTCCCAGTCCCTGTAATGTCACTCCCTTTCAGACACTCTTTAATTGGCGTGGTTAAGACACAGCATTGCAAACTCTGAACATCAACAGTATATAGGTGAAACCCTCAGCAACTTAAATCTCCTCTAGGTATCAAAAATGTGCCATGACAGTAGCTGTCACTGGCGTGAACAGTTGCATCCAGCAGGGTTAACACAAACACACTTCAAGGTGCAGGAGGCACATTCACAGCCATCACTGAGGCCAACTCACATGCACAATGGTGACAACGAAGCAGCCTGCACAAGCAAGACCTGCTTCCACGGTGAGTGTGACACCATGGCTCTGCATCTTCTGGCATAGTTTGCAAAGGCAGGGTGGCCTCAAAGGCATCTTTCCCTTTTCCCTACCGTGGGATGCTCAGCAGCCAGGTCAATTCTGAACATGGGTTAGCTTTAGCTTCAACACTAACCATCATGTTGAGACTGTGTTGCCCACCTAGCACTGCCAGAGGGCAAACCACTTTGCCCTCATGCCCTGCCGCCCAGCAGCACGTGGGACTCAGCCCCCGCAGAGGTTCCATGACATCCCAGTGCTTCCCCACTGACCTGCACTGCCAACAAGGTACAAAACAGTAGCACCCAGTAGCTGTGATTTTGGCTTCTAAGGGCTGACCATGACTTCAGCAATTCAGGTAACCGCTTTCAAACTGCTGCTAATTGCTGTTAATTTGTGTACCCAGCAGCCCAGCTGGACTCACAGAGGGTTTTCAGGTCCTAATTTTATCTCACTTTTAAAGCAGGGTCTGAACCTCCAAGGTTGTGACTTCTTCAGATCCCCTTGTTATGAAGTTATGAGAAAACATTTGTGGTCGGGTGATTTCCTTTTGCCCTAGACAGCTGTCAAGAGCACCAGAATGGCCCAAGGCAAAATGTGATGTGAGTGTAAGGAGTGTCTTAAGCCAGTAAGTTAGAGCAGTGGGTTAGAAAGCCTGAGGAAAAAATGAGCCAATACTTGCTGAAAATCTTCCTATTCTGCTAAGCTTCTTTAGTCAAATTCAATGGCTCCTCTCCAGGCCTTCAGCCTTCTCCACACCTTAGGAAAGAGCCTTATTAATCATTTTGCTTCTATTGTTTAATTATCCTGAGCATCAGCAGTTCAGATCAACACTTGGCTCTCACAAAACAGATCCCAGCCCTCTCACAAACTGCAGCATCCTGGCAGCTCCTGCTGCAGGAGAAGCAAGAGCTTTGCAGACAGCAGAGGCCAAAGACTGAGGTCTTGGTGAGCACGAGCCAGTGCAGCACTCACC